GATGTTGTAATGCGGCGGCGAGGGATGAGACGAGAAGGATTGGGAGCGTTGTAGTCTCTATGTATGGGACTGGAGGGGGGTGGGTGGCCGTGGTGATGACGAGATCATTTAGAGTTTAACCGAATTGGCTTGCCCATCACAAGGTTTGGGGACATCCTGGGCGCCCGAGTTATCCTTCTCTTTTCTTTCCTGCGCATCGGGCATCGGGGAGGGAGGGTGGGAGGGCGGCGCGGTTGCGCGGAATTAGAGTTTCTTCCTCTCGCTTCCCAAACGGCGACGAAGGAAGAGGCCGTGTTATGAGACGCTGTGTCTATAGAGCCAGGCTCGTCCATCGTATGACCCAAGGTTTTGGATCAAAACCGGAGGAACCCATTCGGCCAGGTACGAACAAAGTCCCTGGACCGAAACCCCCCCCCCCCCCCCCCTTGCGCTCTATCAGAGAAGGAAGGAGGAGCAGAATGGTGCTTGATTCCGAAGAGGCAGCAAAGCGATTCCGTTCTATACATAGGGTCGTGAAATCAGATGAAACTTGACCAAACGGAGACGGAAATAAATACCTTGGCCGTGCGCCGTGCGCGCCGCTCGTCGCTCGGCACGCAGCAGAGTCGGCAGCCCGCGCCCAAGACTGCATTGCGAATCTGGCCTTCTCCCGCCCGACTGAGGCGTGGCCCCGGAGCCTCGCCTCCGGAATGGCACAGCAGCAGCAACGTCCATGTCCGGAAAGCAAATAAACTTTAAACCTGTCCTTGTGCGTTTCACGTAGCGCGCATCGCTTATGCGAAAGGGCATGGACTTTGGGACAAGATGAAACCCAATCTTATCCAGCGCATTGTTTGTGTCGGTAGTACTTTGGTGCGAGCCAGATGTGATGCGATAGGCAGACTCTTGAAGCCACGGCCCTGTTGTGGTTTGGCGTCACGGGCTGGTTTTCGGCTAGCAATGGAATATCGGATGCGGCCGCATTGACGATGAGCGTTGGGCCTTCGGAAGCCTTCTTCTTGTCGTGTGTAGTATGTATGGTGTGCATTTCGGCATCATGTTATGCAGCCAGGGGTCAGTCAGTGTGAGCTTATCTTGCTGCCTTTCAACTCTCTCTCTCTCTCTGTCCCTTTTTCTCCATCATTTATTAAGCTTTTCCGGCCTTTCAGCCTCGTCAGCTTGTCCTTGCATCTTTCTGGTCTCGTAACAGTGGCCGGCATAAGGCCTTTCCCTTTTCATCCTGTACAACGAGCGTGTCGCCGAGGGAGTCTTGGCTGGCGGCGTGGAACGAGTCAGGCATTGCCGTTGAAGCAATCCAAGTGTTGACGGGATATAAAACCGGCGAGAAACTTGGTGCGGCTATCGCGCCTGCACGGGCTAGAGCAGTGCGTATCGACATCAAGGGTAGCCATGTACATGCCCGCGGACCTGGAAGATGTTGCTTGCGCCGTGGCATACCGGGCAGCAGTCAACACCTTGACTCATGCTCACGTGCGGTGACAACATGGTTATACCCGGTAGGTGCCGGATGTAGGGTTTTGAAAATACTCCGAGACGAACCTCGTACTCGTTGTGTATTTGCGGACAACTCTTGGGTCGGATCGATGCAAGACAAAAAAGAAAAAAATTGCTTGACGTGCTTTGGCAGAAAATGGCAAGATATTCCTTTTGCAAGGTCCACCATTGTCAGTCGGCAATAAACTGTTCGATCGACAGGCTTCCAGAAAAACTGTCATGTCCAAGTCGAACCGTAACGTTTCCTCGGTTTCAACTGGATCCCGAGCAACACCCGTGACTCCACTCTGAGATCGGGTTGGGGGCCACGTATGTATGTATGTATGTACGTACTACTTGAGCAGAACGTACCATCTGAGAAATGTAACGAGCAAAATGTGAAATGTCAATTCGATGTCGTTACGGCAGATGATGTTTGATTTGAACGTTGAATTGCAGTTATTGATAATACTTGGTTGAAAAGAGACAGTCCTGGATTTTACGCACTTTGTAGTTGTATCCAAGTAGGCATTATACCGTGCTGTATTTAGAGCAGACGTGCACAATGGACCTTTTTACAATTGTGAATGGGCTAGCTATTTGGCACGAATAAAAATCAAGCTACAATACATGCAAGGCGATTCTATTATAAGCATACTATACCTAGGAGCACTGGAATAACACGCCATTGATTTTATACCCTGGCTTTTTTTTTTCCGGACACAAATCATTTGTTCTACAGGCCTAGTGTAGGGTAGCTGGCTTGGTTCATTTCCACCAGACTCGCCCAATATTAAATAGCAAAAAGTGACATGACTGTATTGAACGAGGCGCAAGTCGTATTGGAGGTGGACACAATCTGGTAGATGCTTCAATCGCCTCCCCTGCAGTTTATATACAGAAATGGGTTAGACGGACTGACTGGTTACACAACGAGTATACACATATGTTGATAACCTCAAAAAGTCAAACTTGCCTATATTCCATAGACTACGTACACGATCAAGTGACAAAGCAGGATTGAACTCCGGTCTACTGCGAGGAAAGTAGAAAATGTATTTAATTCATTTTAGAAAGCCTGTGTTGGCGTGTACGTGGTCATGGGCACTACCTACCCAAGGTATGTACTTGGGTATATATTACCAGAGGCAGCAGGGTAGCAGATCATGGTCCTCTACATAATGACAGTGACATTCTACAATATCAATATCAGCACAGCAGGGCCCCATCGTCCAATGGTCTGGTCTCTCACACCATGTTCAACATACCTAGGTAGATGGCGGCAAAGTCCATGCCCAGGAGTACTTGCAATGCCGAGTGACCATGTACTTCCCCCCTGTGTGTGAAAAAGACGGAGTTTATGACGAATGTTGGAGATATTCTGCCAAATGCCGCAATTGCTGAATGATTTTGCTTCATGTAACACAGCAGCCTGTCGCTGGAGACGCTCATAGAAGCAGCCCGGAAGCAATGCGCCTCTGGTACGTCAGGTTTACTCAGCTAGATGAAAACTTGAGTCTAGTTTGTCATTGTGCAACCGCTTGATGCTGATTTGGCAGACCTAGCGGCATTCCTACGCAACCAATCCCCACCCAGGTAGGTATAGGCCTGTATGATTTTGAATATGACTAGTATTTAACTTGGAAGCATGTCTTTGACCGTGTCAGCCTAGTACCAAATACTACCAATGTGCTTGAGCGGTTCAATTGGAAGAAGCTGCTCAGTACGCTTGAGGCATCGGATCGGAGAAAGAAGCACCCACCACTCGTCTGGCACTCACATGTCGGTGACGAAAAACCACACATACGCAGTCAACTCCCGATGTCGAAATGCCTCTTGGTAGAGGTAAATATCGGCGCCAGACACCGACGGCCCCACCGACAAATGACGGAGCACCGGTCCTCGATGGTTTCCACGGCACGGCTGACGGAGTAGTGCTGGGACAATCCGGTGGGCGCTAGGCTGAGGCTAGCTCTGACAAGCTTGGAGCTCTGATTCCATTATGATGATGGAAGCAGTGGCATAACTGCTTCAAGACGATGAATTACAGCCTGACAGGTTGCGCGGTGGGCACACAACAACTTGTTCCAGAGCTTGTCATCAGCCCACGACTGGTGATGAGTCTGATGACGCATTCGGGTATTGGAGGGTCCTTGACTCCTTGAAAACCCTCTCGGTTGATCCGGATAGCGCAACACTTCCATGGCTGACCAAGTGCTGGGATGGCAAGCCAATAACTGTCAAGGCCGTTGGCCAAGGACCAATGACGACATGATTGTACCAACTGTCCGCACGCAACTTACCCTTTGGGGCCCATGCGGCTCCCTTGAAACCACGATTGCCAGTCACTGGTGGCTCGTCAGTGAGTCTGGAGACACTGGGGAGATTCGACATGGCACAGCCACAAAAGCAGGGGCAGCTGGCGGCAAGCGAAACTTGTTGCATGTTGTGCTGTACCCGTTGGCAACTACATACATAAGATATTGCTGCTGCAGGGTTCTGCGGCTCTCCTCATCGACATGGTCGGCGGCACGAGAAGGCCTGGAGAATTGGCTGGACGAGCTCGCCAACTCGCTACGCGCCAACCGGCCTGCCGCGTGGCCTCGCCAGTGTACTCCGTAGAAGCCGAACAATATGGCTCGATATCGAGTTTCTACTCTGGCGTCCGTTTTGCCTTGTGTTAGTTGTTTGCAACACATGGCCACGATGCGGCTTGCTCCGTCCTGCGGCTCGAAACGGGCGCTTGGTGATGCATCACACCACTCGTCCTAGAACAGCGGCCCCATCAAGCGATGCCTTGGCGGGTGTTGGCGGGTGTTGATGATCGACCAGACGATTCACGCCGCTGGTCAAAAGTAGATTAGCGAGCCCAGTACAGCCTTTATGGTTGGCTGACGCTGGGGTTGAAGCTTGGGATAGCTCTGCGGAGACAACGCGGCCGGCACAAGCAGCGAAAAAACTGGGTTCTTGGCTCTTCTCGGCGTCAGGCAAGCCTGGTGAGGTCATACATGATGGATTGCTCCCTTGCAACTGCCGATCGCTCCGAGAGCCAGAGCCAGAGTGAGCGACGCAGACACAGACAAGGTTAGATTAGAGAGAGAGAGAGAGAGAGTGACAGAGGACACAAAACGAGTCGTTGGCTGTCTTCACCACCGATGACTGATGGGCCGCGACCGAATGCTCCTTCCTGCTTCAGACAAAAAGGGCTGGCCGCCTGCCTCCCAATACTTCCGAAACTCCTAGAATTCCCAAACCTCTCAAATTCTCTCCCTCCCCTTCCATTCAATACTAGTAACAACCCCACTACTACAGCAAGTTCAATTCCTTGCTCTCCATATCCCTCAACACAGTACTCCGTCATTGTTGTTTTACTTTTCTGCGTCCTCCAACAACCGCTACTTTGGCACCTCGGCACCGCCACAGCTCGCGTCCGCTTCAAGCACCTTTAGGTCTCTGCGCAACCTTTGAAATACCAACATCATCATCCACTCGACGCTCTATTTTACCAGCTCAGCCGTTCTCTCACCATGTACGGCTTCATAAACGCCGTAGTCCGCACCATCGGTCTCCTCTGGACGCTGCTCATCACGGCGCTCATCGGGAATGTCATTGCCAGCAACAACAATGGCCAGATGGCCACCATCAACTTCACAATGTTTGTCGCTGCTCTCTCGTGGGTTGCCAACTTGTATGGTGTTGCCGCGGCCATCATCTCTAGCCTTAGCATGGTCATTGTTCTCCTCGTCCTCGACGGCCTGGCCACTCTCTTCACCTTTATCAATGCCATCGTCTTGGCCGCCAAACTGGGCGCGCCCAACTGCGGCAACCTCAGAAATGCCGGTCTCTCAAGCAGCTGGATCGGCTGGGGTTCCTCCGACAATGAGAAGCGATGCCGTGAGATCCAGGCCAGCACCGCTTTCATGTGGTTCCTCTGGGCCTGCTTCTGCGTTTCCCTGTTCTTCACCGTCAGGGAAGCCCGCGGCGGCGGCGGTCTCCGTGGTTCTGTGCGCTCTGGTAGGCCAAACATGTCCCAGGTTGGCGTTTAAAAAGGCTACTTATTTCCCTCCATCCCCCTTGCAAGAAGCCGGAAAACAAAGCGGAAACCCTTCTCTTTCGCCTTGTTTTCTTTCGCCGTGAACCAATTTCCATTTCGACTCTGTTCCGGGCTTGACGTTAACTGCCATTTTTGTTTCAGGCGTATAATATTTCGTGGGCTGCTGTGGACAGACAACTGGCTGGGGTGGTTATCATTTCTTCCTCCTTTTTTCTTTTTGTTTATTATTTGCAAGCAAGAACTCTTACTCGCCTTCACTTGGCAACACTCAGTGGTGGCTGCAGAAGCTAGGGTTTGTACGAAACAGATGAAGCGCCAATATATGGACATGGGACCAAAAATGGAACGAGGAAGATGACATGAGCCCGACGGGGCATTCTGGATGGAGAGTGACGGACGTTTTGGAAATTATGGAATAATGAGGTTGTGTATACCAAACTTTAATGACGACGGCGCCGTGAGGGCGGTGCACATGGACCAAACATAGACACTAATGATTGCTGTAGCTATGTATTAATCTATCGCTGTTATTCACTTGAACTGTCATCATGATGCTCGCAGTGAGGCCTGACGCAAATGGACACGACCAAGTTTATGTTGTGTAGATGGGTGGGTGCGTGCACAAAGTCGTGCTGTCCCAGATGATCTATCGAAGCCTTGCTCATAAGTTACCTGAACGCCTGAGCAAAGAGTAGATGTAATATTATATACAAGGAGCTCGCGCGAGTTGCCAGATATCTTCTAGCCCACGTGTCTCGAAGTGTGCTCTTGTCTTCCAGCATGGTTATTGCCCAAAATTGTTGCAAATGGCATCCCGTCGCCATTTCTATAACGTGGCCGCCGTCTCTACTACACCCACAGCCTTGAATGCCTTCTTATTCGTCCACCGCACTTCAACTCCGTGCATCCATTCCATGTATCTTCCCCAACCTATTGTCCTTTGGTTAGCGCTTTCCAACCTTGAACATGTACAGCATCTGCATCACGAGTCGTGGAGAACCATGTGGTGCTAGAAAGGGAGAAGGACTGAAAGAAGAAAGCAAAAATGAAACACACAAGACAAGACATACTCCAATAAGCAAATTTCCTGCCAAAATATTTACCGACCCACGGGACTATCATCATGGTCAATAGCAGCTGGAGCTGCTCAAGGGACCGATCCCATTCGGCCTGGGCGTCGGAGTCAGCGTCGGAATAGACATCGCTTGTGGAAGAAGAAGTCGAAGGGAGGGAGTCAATGTCGTCTTCTTTTTCATTATAGGTCTCTTGGAGGTCGATGAGGGATTCGGCGGCGACCATTGTGACTGAGCTGGCGGTGAAGTGCTAGGGCAGCAGGAAGGAAATGGACAGCCGGGTGAGTGACGCGGAGAGGAGGACGGTGCTCAGTAGCGTTGCGGCATTTGCATCAGAGGTGTTCCGTGACACACAATATGAGGTTCAAATGCCCTCCCTGGCGGCGATTCGACGAACGCTCTTTACGTCGTGAACTGGAGTTGCAATGCTCACTTTCTCCGATGCTCGCCGTCGCGTCGGCAGGTCACTTCCCCAACTGAACGGCTCCAGCTTGTCATTGGCCCTTCAGTCCTTCCCGTCCCGCCAGTCAAAGTACACAGAGTCACGTGATACCACACGTGGCGTACCGAGGCCAGTCACAGGCTTGGAGCACCCGCCACTGCCATCGCCACTGCCATCACCACGACGAGAAGTGCCTATCAAGACGAACTCGCTTCTTCTTATCACACATATTTGCTGCTTTGCAAGCAATATAGAACAAACCTGAGGCTGTGTGCTGGAATTCTTTGCATCGCCTTGGTTTCGGCTACAAACAGATTGGCACCGCTGAGTGAGACTTAGCAGCGGCTGACTCACACCAGACATCTCATCTACCGGACCAGACACCGGCGGCAAAGTAGTCAACGGTCGGGCATATCAAGGCTTTGGACGTCAGTCATGGAGAACGAGGTGAGTTTCCTGCTCTTGCCCCTTAGTTTTCTTTCTATGTTACATTACATCTTTTACCCCCCCTCCCTTTTTTTGCCCTTTGCTTCGCACACTGCGTTGGACATCAACGCATCGGGCTCTGAAATGCATAGCATGGTGATTGCTCAGTGAGCAGTTGCTTCAATGCCAATTGTGTTGGCTGTGTAAGCCTTGGGCCAATCCGAGGACCCTCTTTTGTCCCGTCACTGCTAGCCTGGGCTGTTGTAGCCGCTCCATCAGGAGGCACACCAGACCTTCCCGACGCCGGCCGCCAGTGCAGGACAGTGCAAACAAAGTCATGGATGTGCACAAATGGCACAAATGTACTCACGACCCCAAGCACAAATAATTTTACCCCACCTTCACCTCTGACTGGCCAAATCCGCACAACACTATCCAGCATTTTTGCCATCATCCCTCCCACTTTGTCACATCCCATCTCTATTGGTGTCTGCCGAGGAATCTTCTGGTCCTGTTTTGGACGTCTTTGGCATTTACCAGGTTTGACTCATCTCTTCATCTAAATTTTTCTTTTTTCGCCTTTCATCTTCCACTGATCCGATCACGCGACGACCGAACTGCTGGCGTGCCGAGCATTTCATTATTACTGTTCGTTATTGTCTCTCTATCATAATCTTCTTCTCGTCATCATTTCATCTCTTGGCGTTGCATCATTCCGGCCCAACTTGTCCGCGAAACTGTACACAAAAATATATTTGCTAATTGGCGACTGTTTGTTCGCACCTCGCAGGACCAAGTCGAGCGAAAGTCTCGCAAATCCGTCGCTTTCACCGACGAGCAACTCGTAGTTGACGCCGACGGCTCAGTCACGATGGTGACCGCTACCGAGGAGCCCAAGGAGACGGCTCAGTCCCATACGCCTCGTACGCCGCCGTTGTCCGCCGCCCTGGGAGCCTTTACTGACGCCTCAGCTCAAGCCGCTACCGACGATGCCCCTCCACCCGCTGATGGCGGCCTCGACCTGTCTCTCATGAAGAAAAAGAAGAAGAAGAAGGTGAAGAAGGAGGGCGGTGAGGAGGATGACTTCGCTGCCAAGCTAAAGCAGCTGGAGGTCAAGGATGCTGAGGATGCTGCTGCCACTGCTGAGGAGGAGTCCGGTAATATGGATGCCGGCACTGGTATCTGGGCTCACGACGAGACCAAGACCATCGGCTACAGCATGCTCCTCCAGCGATTCTTCCATCAGCTGTCACAGAAGAACCCCGACCACACCCTCACCGGCACCAAGAGTTTCAAGATCCCGCCCCCTCAGTGCATGCGCGAAGGCAACAGGAAAACCGTCTTTGCCAACATTGCTGATATCTGCAAGCGCATGAAGCGAACCGAGGACCATCTTACTGCTTATCTGTTTGCCGAATTGGGAACAAACGGCTCTGTCGACGGAAATAGGAGATTAGTTATCAAGGGCCGTTTCCAGCAAAAACAGATCGAGGGTATGGTCCGAAAGTATATCAGTACGTTGTTATCCCCTTGCCTTTGCCATCAGGTTGAGGCGCGTATTCAAAACCTATCTATGTTCGGTTCCACTGACAAACCAATAGTTGAATATGTCACCTGCAAGACCTGCAAATCCCCCGACACCGAGCTCAGCAAAGGTGAAAACCGTCTGTACTTCGTTACCTGCAACAACTGCGGTTCGCGACGTTCCGTCACTGCCATTAAGACAGGTTTCTCCGCCCAGGTCGGTAAGAGAAAGAAGATGCAGGGTTAAGCCTTTCCCACCACGATATCACCGTTATTCCGTCTCCTGGACCACCGCGATCTCCGTCGTTTGTCGCTGGCTCTCCTCCTGTCTTTGATCCAGTTTGTGCTGTGTAATTTCATACACGAAATTATTTTCGGATTAGTTGTGTAAAAAGGACCATGGTGCGACGTTTTGTCTCGCAGAGGAACATTTACTTGGCTGGGCAAGGCTGACGGGGCAACAAAGGAAAGGAAAAGTTGTGCCGGGGGGAAAGGGACGGAGGGGAGTTCTTGGACTTAAAAGTAACATTTTCATGCAAGGAACGGACAAGAATGATTGACGGTAGCTTACAAAAGCGCCCCCGGATAGAGTAGACGGAATTGGGTTGGGCCATGGTGTTGACGATTGGAGATTGGCGATTTGTTATCATGTATATGACGCTGGAATGATGCATGCTCGACGCCAACCTTCGCTTTGCTTGGTTCCATGTGAATGCTTCTATTGCTAGACGGCATTGAACACACATCAGAAATACCATTACGTTGCTACAAAATTACCCGCGTAGGTGGTTCCTAGTTTGGAAATAATCACTGCAAAAGGGCTCACATTTACGAGCAGCGAATGATTGGGGTTGCAAGTGCGCCAGCACCTGCAGTATTAGTATCATTGCCCTTGCCACATAACCAAACTTGAGAAAACCAAGAAGAGAGTGAGATGCCGTGTCCATTGTTCCACCCTGTCGCCAGAAAACCTCCCTCATAAGAACAGGATGATAAAACTCGCTCGTCTTTGCCACCTTTTATTTCCTCAGGCTACGTTTTTATGTAACCCACTTCGTCTTAATGTACATTTGATATCAAGAAATGCCGCACAGTAGTAAACATAAACTAGAAATAGACACAAGTTCTGTTCTGTGTATGGAAGGGAAACGCCGCCCAATGGAGGTATTTAAAAAGTAAAAAAAAAGATGCCCACGTTCAGTAGTCTGCCTAAGACTGGTTGAACAAGGCGAATGTGGCGTCCATCATGTTGTTCTTGTCGTTGTTGCCGTGCATCAATGATGAATGACCTGCAGCAGCTCCTGTTCGTGTAGCTTCATCGGCGGTATTTTCTACCTCGATTTGCGCGGCTTCGAATGTTGCTCGGACCCACTCTACCAGGCGGTTCTTTTCAATGTACTGGTTAAGAAGCTTGTCCTCCCAGTTCATTGCATCTAGAAGCTTGGACTGCTCATTCTCAGAAAAGCCCTGGAAGCGGCTGTCTAGTTGGTCTGTGAAGACGCCGAGGGCCTCCTGGGGCGGCATAGG